TTTTAAATAATATGTTGGCAACATATATGTAAACGTTTTTGGATGAACCCATGGATTTCCTTCAATTTTAAACTCTATTACATAAACCTTGTTTTCCTTTTCATATTTAATTTGCCCTTAAAAACAATCAAATGTTTGTCTCATTTTAATAATAAACAATTTATTTTTCATTGACAGAAACTCAATGCTGTACAAGAACTTCATCTTCTGGACATGATTTGTACATGTTTTTCTGAGGCACCTGAAAAAAGTAAATACAGAATCTTCAACCTGATGTTTGGGGCTCATGGAGATGGAACAGTTAATCTCCTTACAAAATTATTATCTTTAGCCATGTCAGTCAAATGTATACCAGTATTATTTTGTGCTGCTATTTGGATGCAGGTACATATTGTCTTTTTTTTTATTATTTCAATGTATAATGAAAAGTTTTTTAATGCCTAATGATTTAGTATGAGTTTGATATTACATTTGTTTAAAGTTAAGAATTCTTTCTGTTTTGAGAGCTAAATTATTTATTTTTTTAAAGTGAAAATAGTTTGATGTTTTGTTTTTAACAATTGTTTAATGGAGCAAAATCTATGTGACAGATCCTGGGGTTTTTGATAGTATTAATGTTTTTCTGTTTAAATACTAGTGTTTATCTTCAGTTATGAAGGAGGAACTTTTATTTTATCATTTACACTGATAGAGAACTAAAATACATGTCTTATGATCCCATTCTGGTCTTCAGCATTTTTTGAATCTCTCATTTACTGCTGTTTTTTTATACACTTCTTTAGGAACGAGATAGTCTTAGCCCAGATGTGAAAGGTTTAACCCAAAGATTAGTTAGTGATTACTGCATTTTATATCCAGAGCAATCCACAGTGTTCACAACATTACCTTCAGTATCACCTTTATTTGCTTGTAATCTTGTTACTGCAGCCACATCGTTATATTCATTTGCAGGTTAGTTTTATCAGTATGTTTTTTTAGTTTACCTATTATGTGTATTTATATGTGCATTGCAAGAATAATTCCATTAGTGAATCAGATAATAGTAAAATTTTTGAGAGCTCAAGTTTTTATATAAAAAAAATTAAGGCATTACCTAAAAAGTAATAGACAACGGCCACCCGCTCCATCAGAACTACGTCAGGTTGTCGCGAAGTGGGCGACTACTGTCAATCAAAACAAGAACAGAGCGTTACAAAAACTTGTTCGTACCTCTTTCAGTCAGATTATATCAACTCCACTCCTTGATCAGGAAACATGAAAAGGACCCAGATGCCTGTGTGTAGTCGCTGAATAAACTTTTTATGTTGTGTCTGTTGTATTTATGTGTATGTTTCTGTTGTGTTGTCTTTATATCAGAAAAGAGTCCTTGTAATCACAACAAATTTCCAAAAGGATTATAAAGAAGTCTTAGTCTTAGTAATAAATTACATTACAATGAAAGCACAATTCTGTTTCCTAGTTTAGCATAAGCTTTTAAGGAAAATGATAACTTCTTCTAATTTTCCAATAAAATTGTGAATTCTTGATAAGTTTTTGGCTACATGTAAAGTGTTAAATATAAACAGTTGCAATAGCTACTTCAGTATAGGACTTCATTTACTCTACATTTTCAGGTGCTGACAGCCTTCCTCCACTAACTCTGGTCCAACATGTAAGTGAGTGGGTCTACAAAGACAACACTATGTGCTGTGAGTCCCTGCGACAAGCTGCCATCCACAGTGCATACACCACACCTGTACCTGGCTTGACTGGCTGGTGTGTCAGGGGGCCACTGGTGTGCTGCCAGCTAAGGGAAAAGTCAGACTCCCACATTGGGCAGGCCCAGATAGATTTGATGCTCTCGTGCCTTGACAAACTGCATCTAGCACTGTTACAGAGCTTGACATTTACAGCCTCTGTGAACCTTTCACCAGGTTTAATAAGCGCTAGTGATTTAGCTCATATAGCCCAGACACTTCAAGTTGTCTTTCGACCAAATCCAAGCAAGTTAGAGTCTTTGGCCTGTAACACTGCATTAGAAAGATTAGCTCAAATCTTGCAAGTAGCTTCCTGCACAAGGACTTACATAGCAGATAGAGGTAATTGTCATATTAACATTTTATGTTGCCTTTTTCGTTTGTTTTTTTTAAGCTATCATAAATCAAAATTAATTTTGTATATTTCTACATATCTTTTCTGGTTAAATTGTTAATTGAAAATAATATAAAAACCAAAAAAAAAACTTAACCAAACTGTATATGATTTTTCGCCCAGTTTTTCTTTACAATGTTTTTGGAATAATTGAACACCTTGCAATTGCACACGAAGGTTAATTTTCCCACTTAGTGATTTTTTTTTATAAATTTTGTTAACAAGTATTATTGTTTTTATTCATATTTTTATTTTCTTTTAAGCTTAGCAAAATATATGTATCAGTTTAGGATTAATACTCTATCTATCAAGTTCATGGCCTTTAAAAAAAAAACACTTCTTCTAATTGCTGCAGCCATGAAAAAAAGTATGTTAAATTTTAAAATATAGTTAGTCTTATCATGTGATACTTTCATAGGCAGTCAGCACTCTTCCAAATTTTACATTTTTCATGTGTGTCTATTTTTTAAACTAAAGATTGAATTTAGCTAAAATTTGTAATAATTTATACTATTGCTGTATATTAAAAGTTATTAATATTTTGGTGTATTTCTAAAGGAATTCTTGTAAGCTCAACTAGTATTATTGCATTGACATAGTGACAGATGATTTCTTTTTTGTTTTGTATTTATCTATTTAGACTACTGACAAAATACATTTATTGAAATCATCATAATTTTAGGTAAAATCAAAGAAATAGAAGCCCTTGCCAAGCTAAAACTACCATACAACAGGTAAGTTTATAGTTGGGTGTTTTATTGTTTATTGACAAGCACAAACAGCTAGCATCCTTGTTAATGGTGACTATATATCAGGGTTCACACATTTTAGAAAACTAATATATGCCATAAATTTTTAGTCAAAATAATTCTGGAAAACCTATAAAAAACAAAGTTTTTCTAGTTTTAAAAAAAAATTAAAAACCTGGCTTTTTTTTTTTTTACTAACCCAAAATGAATTTTTTAAAAATATGCACACAGAAAACCAAATGCCAGAACTGGGTTGGAAATTGGCAAGATTCTCTGTAACCTCCATCATCTATTTGATGATGCATCTGCCAGAAGAGCTGATTATGAAATGGTTACAAAACAAAATGTTTTGTCTTATACATTATTGCCCCCACAAATAGTTGGAGAATGACAAGATTTGCCAACATGCAATTCAAATTTATTATTTATAACAGAATGTATTACAGCTGGAGACAAGAAAATCATTTTTTAAATGGTACAAAGTCTTATGACTAGCAAAGTGTGGCTAAGATGGCTTATTTTTTTATTAGTGTTAGACTACAGATAAATTTTCTATGCAGTATCAAGATGATAAACCAATGCTGGCTTTCCTGGCAAATGATTTAACTTGTTTTTATTTAATTGTTCATGAAATGTTGCATGAAGGAAAGTGTTGTCGAAAATGCAAGAACTTTTTACAAAATTGTTTGATCTGGATACAAATTCAAATGATACCCAGAATCCAGTTTCTGAATTAGATCTAAGTTTTTGACAGACATCGAGCTAAATACAAAAAAAAAAAGACTGCGATTGAAAGGGACATTCTGCAATTTAAAATGAATTGCAGTGTTTTGAGTGCTTGTTGTGCTTGCAGCAGAGTTTTCCCATCACATACAAAACTGCTTTTCTAGCTCCCCAAACAATTTTTTTTTTATACCTGCAATCACTTTTTCTAAGTGAAGCTCAACAAGCAAGACTGAGGTGTTCAGATTACTTGGAAAAACAAAAACTCTTCTGATGCTAATTTAGAAGCCACTAGAAAATGAAAAGCTATTAAGTTGAAATATACACTACTCAAACAGACAATAAACAGAGAGCACTATTTCTGCTTTAGTTAAGGAAGCAGATGATACACTTGGAAGAGGCTGAAAAAAAATTAACACTGTTGTCTAAAGGCAATCCCATTAGAAGAAAGGCAAAAGAACTATCTGAAGAAGTTCAGACTATGACAAAAATCAAAAAAATTTGGAGTTAAAAATGTGTACAATTATGATAATTTATTTCTTTTCTGTACATAAAACATCATATAATGTAAAAAAATATAAACCATAAAAATGCCACAATTTAAGTTTACATAACAAAAAGATATTATTTTGTGTTTTCTTTTGAAGTTATTTGCTTTTTCAATTATAAACCTCTGTAAATGATTTGGGTTCACATAAATAACCTGGAATTTTAGACCATAACCTGGATTTTTTTTAAGCCAAGCCAGGAGTGTGGCAACCCTGTTAATATATTAGTGTTTTCAATCATACCAATTCTTATGAACATTATCTGTGAATGTTGTTCTTTTTCTGCATCTATATTGTTATAATAGTAATCCTGAAGTGGACAATTGTAGTCAAACTGAATTTCCATTTGTCTGGATCATTAAAATTATTGTATCTAATTTCAGCCTTTTATTTTTACTTGACATTCTATTTATTTAGTAAATGTGATCAATATTATTTATTTTTCAGACTTTTAACAATGGTATTATCTAATCAACTACAGAGTGGTCGGCCATATCAATCAAATACTGTTAAGTAAAGAATCTTGACAGTTGACAAATTTGTTTATGAAAATTAAATGTCTTCTTGTCACATTCTTGTGAATGTTGAAAACACGACTACATCAGCTCTCAGTTTAAGTCGTGACACCACATCAGCACCTTGCTTGATCAAGTCATGTGACACAACTACATCAGCTTTCAGTTTGATCAAGTCATGTCAAACAGTATAATGTTAATGTTATCTTAGTGTTTCAATTTTTTTTTTACTGTATGTAAATGTGTATTGTGAATTCTGAACACAAAATGATTCTTTTATTTGAATTAAGGAACGGCTCTTTCCTAAGAGCTTTCACAAATGCATTGAACTCAGCTAGTAATATAAAGATTTATGATAACCTTTCTTCTGTAATTTGACAGTCCACTCAAGTCATTGTGCCTTTTTTATTTTAATACTAGCTATTAAGCAATGCACTGGAAAAAAAAACAATTTCTTTTTCTGGAATGTTGATAAGCTCCATCATTTACAAAGTATAGTATCCTGTAGTGAATGGAGTGACAGTTTATATGTGCAGCAGTCTCAGAAGATCTCAAAGAGAGGAAAACAATGTAATGTACAGATCTTATTGTTGTGGTTTTGTTTGAAGTTGGCCATTTGATTTGCTTTTCTGAACTGTATGTTTTTATACTTTGTATATGCTAAGATTATGTAGTATGTGAAAATAAATATGTATCATTTTTTTAATATACCAATTACTGTTGTTTCATATATATGTAACCAGTTGCAGAATGTGAAAATTTTGGATTTCTAAAACATTGAAATGATCAACCGAAAACTGGCATGTAATCAAAGTTCTTAACATTCAACTGATCATTTTGCTTACTTTAAGAAATTTTTTCTTAAAAGATAATTCTTGCTTTATGAAGCAGAATTTTTGTGAGAGCCATTATTTTGCTCTGAATAAATTAATTTATGATAGCTAATTAATTATAGAGTATAAAAAAGTATAGTTTGTTTTTATAGATCCAGACTTAAAAAAAAACATCAAAAGAGCATTCTAGTATTCTAATACTTGGGTTTAGTTTATAAACATTTCTATCAGTCCAGCTAATTATTTCTAAAAAGACGGTGTGCTAAATGTTTATTAATTTGACTCTTTAAAGAATACATGTGGGAAAACCTGCTGACGCTTGTGTGTTCAAAATAATATATAGCTCCTCCTTCGTGATCAAAGACGAGCAAATTTCTCATATCCTATGAATTCGAAGAAGACTGTAAAGTCCAGTCTTCGCTTTACATGGCATGGGTAGGTTTGGTCAGTTGCAGATAGGCCTGCTTCTTTTCGGTTCAGCGCTCTTTCACGCTGGCCACTCATCTTACTTTAAGTCTGGATACTCACAACATAACGCCATGAGGAGCTATCAAGACCTAGTGCTTCCCAGCCGTGAAAGTCAGTATCACACTCCTTGAAGGAGCTCTTGAGAATGTCTTTATAGCGCTTGTATTGACCTCCCTAGTAGCGCTTTCCTGCACACAACTTCCTATACAGAAGTTTCAGGAAGGCGATTGTCTGGCATGCGGACTACATGTACCACCCATCGAAGTTGGGACCTTTTTTACTGTCACATTGATACTGTTCATGTTGGACAGCTTTAAGATTTCTGTGGTATGTGGTCGGACCAAATAATAAGATGCAACCCAAACTTAATTTTATGATGATTATATTTTGAAAAATTATAACTGTCAAACCAGAGTGGCAATTAGTCAGATTTCTAGGAAAACCATTAGAGGCATTTTCAAGATCTGTCCACCCAGGTTAAAATTTTTTTAAATTCCTGAACCCATTGAGTTTGCAAATTGATAACTAATTGTTATAAAAAATTTGTTAAAAATAGTGAAAAAACATCTGATTAGCTGATTTTTCTTTCATTACACAATATTCGCAAGTATAACTAACGCCTAGAAGAATTTATGTTTTAAAAAAAAAAAATACAAAGACAACAGCCAATGCACTGAAAGGTGTTTATTAATAAGGCCTAAATTTCCTAGCCTGTCTCATTTCTTTAACTCTTTTTTTGTCTTCTTCAAACTTGGCTTGCAACTCTAATATGTCTGTAAAAAAAAAAAAAAATAAATATAGATTGTTTACCAGCACATGTAATTAAAGTAAATAGTGATAAATTGAAATTGTTAAAAAGGTAATGAAACAAGTTGTATAAATGAAAATTCTTGAGGACACTTACGTTTCCTTTTAGTTTCTCTAAACTGAAAGCTGTAAAAGTCCTTCAACTCCTAATAGAAACCCAACAGCAAAAGTTAGTGCAAGAAACAAAATGTTTAACTGGTAAAAAGTTTTACTATTTATGAAGAAAGGGACATCTGAAATATTAGAATGCTTTGGCTTCACATCTATTGAAAGGCAATGCTACATTCAAATATAACTAACTCAAAGTAGCTCAGTATTTTTTATTTATAATTGAGTTGCACTCAACTGTAATTGTACTAAAAAATGACTAAAGGTAAAGTTAAAAAAAAAAAGACAAGAAATAGATAGTGAACCAAAAACAAAACAAGGTTACAAAGACTTCTTGTTTGTCGTTCTCATTAAGTTTGAACATTCAGATGACTAGACCAATATACGAGATGAACTGCAAAGTTGTTTCCAAATCAGGAAGCTCTCCATATAGTTTTCTTTCCACAGGAATGTTTTGGGGCCAGTGTCTTGTTCATGCCTCTTGATAAAGAATGCAGTTGTGAAGGATATGGTCAGGATTTTCTGGTGACATTTCACAAGGGCAGATTTTGCTAGTTAGTTTTAAGCTTCTGGAACATATGCTGTCTCATTCTGTTGTGGTCCGTTCTAAGGCGAAAGGAGTCGATACAAGGACAATTTGTTTGGAAAAACAAACTCAAAATCGACCCCCGAAGTACTACAAAGTATCAACAAACACATCTCTTAAAACTCTAGGACACTGGAAACTCCCTTCCACTAGACTGAATGAAAGCAATCTTTCTGCTTTAATGGGGCCCAAGGAGATGCAAAATCATTACACCCGTTTTGTTTTTTCTTTAGGTGGGGGCCTGTTAAATGTTTTACATGTTTCGGATGTTCTTTCAGAGCTCAAGGTAATTTAGCTAGTCCAAACCTCCTGCAGGATGGCAGCGAGCAGGGTATGAACTCTGGACCATCAAGATAACCGAACGAAAGTCCAGCACCCCATACCACATGACCAGGCAGCCATGTGTTATTCTAAGACACCTTGGCTAGAGGATGAAGCCACATAAATAAAAAAAAAAAAATGGCCAGTAAAATTAATTGAAATTTGAAAGATCAACTTACATTTTTCTTATTTCTCTTTCGAATGTGTTCATGACCTTTCTTTTGGTTATCCTCTGTTCTTTTGCCTCCTTTGTTTTTACCATGCCGCATTACTTTGATAAAACCTTCTTCATCAGGTTGACCAGCTTTTTCTTTCTCTTTTTTATCTTCCTATGATTAAATTCAAAATATGATGATAAGTAGAAACACATTACAGACTGAGCAGCATTAGCGTCATTTAAAAAAGTTAGGGTTAGTTTGACAGACTGGTAATAAAAACTTTTTTTTTTTACCTCATCTTTTGTCTTAAAATAGTCATCCATAAATTTCTCAGATTCTTTTTCCATTGCAGTTACATCTGGAATGTTTCTGTAATCTTCAATATAGCCTGTAATAGCAGAAAAGAATTGTTTACTTAGGTGACTGTAATTTGCCAAAGAACAATATGTCTTTTTTAAGTTTGGAATCTTCAATGACATTATTACCTCTTAACCCTGTCCTTAAAGGTGTTTCCTGATCACAGATGAAATGGACTGTATCAAAAGAAAAGCTGCAGGCATTTCTAACACCAGTTGGTTTTTTAAATACAACATAAGCAACTTGTACAGTCTGAAAAATAGAGTATAAAGCAAAGAATGCTGGCTATAAAAATAATAACAATTATATTTTTATATGCTTGAGGAATTATCTCACTATTGTGCAATACAGATAGCAAAACATTGTAACAAAAGAACTAATGATTTATCATTACTAAGTATATGGCTTTTTCTGTCTCTGAAGACAATGGATGCGTCCAGATGAATCACAGGGCAGAATCTGGTGAGGCTAAAACAAACTAATTCTTGTGAGGCAGATTTCGCAACAGTTTTGTGCATGTGAATGCACCTGTTTTAGGGCAGCTTTCTGATTATTTTTAAGCTGCTTCATTCCTATTGCTCTAAACAAGGTTTTTGTGCCATTTCCTCCCACATTTTTTCAATGATGCCTGTAGTCCTCAGAGCTCGCTTGCAGACTAGATTAGTCTTGGGTGTAATTCCCTCAGCAAGCTTGATATAGAGGATGTCCTTTGGAATTCTTCCATTTGGCATGCAGGTGACTTGTCCAAGCCAGCCTAGTCTAGTCTGTGTCAAACTACTGTGTTTATTGGCCAATTTCAAAACTTCCTGCTTGGAGACATGATCCATACAGGAGTTTATTAAGCAATCTTTTTTGAAAATTTGGTTGATATGTACACTTGACTTTTAGCGATATATTCCATGCATGATTTTCAACTACTCTTTCTTTCAAATGTATATCTATCCTTTCCACACAACACTATCTTGTATTCATCTTCTTTATTGTGAGCCTTCCTAAATTTCAGTTTTGACTCTACTAATTACAATAAAATGTAATTCTAATCAATTACAAATTAAAATTTAAAAAAAATGATTCCAAACCTTAGGTGCTTTACTTAAGCTAGCTGTTTTCATTGGAGCTATGGATGATTTGGGCTGAAGAAAAACCCTCATGATTTCTCCACAGTCTTTAAGCAATAGTCTAATGTTTTCCTGTAGGCATGAAAAAAAAAAAAGAAGAGCAAGGCTATCATCATCATCAAACTCCATTTGAGTGAGGGCTTGAGAGGCTCAAATCCTCTCTTGCAAAAGCCCTGGACAGAAACCCTGCTGTCTTGCGTAGTGCATAAATGTCGCCATACAGGTTGAGAATTTTGGTTTCCCAGACCTGTCGAGACGGAGATCAGCAAGTCTGGGTCAGTCAAACAGAATATGAGGCACGGTTTCCTCTTCTTCCCCGCAGTGGAGGCACCGTGAATCAAAATTTGGCCATAGCCGCGAGAAATATGAGCCAACACGACAGTGGCCTGTCCTGCACTGTGCTATAATAGCTTGCTCAGGCCTGGACAGCCTCCACCACGGGGAAGTGCGGTCAGGGCGCCTCATGCGCTCCCAGACTCCACAGGCTTTTTGTGACTTGTCCCAGCACTCAAACCACTTTTCCATTTTGTTTTTTGTATTATAGCCAGGGCTTGATGAAAGCTTACAGCCTGTTCAGTGGGTGGAATTTGCCCTCCCTGGTGGGCCAAAGAGTCTGCAAATGTGTTGCCAGAGCAAGGCTATAACATGCACAGTCTTTAAACATTAGTCTAATGTTTTCCTGTAGACATTGGGAAAAAAAAAAGCAAGGCTATAAGATGCACAATATATAAATAAAAAGAAGATTAGAAAGTTTTAAGTTACCTCTTTACAATAGGGTGGAACATTGTAGACAATAAGAGTTCTTCCTTTGGGCCACTCCACTCTGTTATGTGCTGATGCATGCTCCTTCACAAAAAGACAATGACTGGCATGGCTTCGTTCACTGGTTTTCACTTGGATTACTTTTGAAGGGATAAAAAAAAAGGTATTATAGATGAGTTAATGGACTTGGAA